CTTTTAAAATCTCTGTGGGGCAATGTCGCCTCAGCTGTGGAAAATGCCTCATATTTCCTGAGGAGGTGCACATCCTCTTTACCACCCAGTCATTTTGGTCTCAGGGCATCAGCCCCATATGTGATGTGATAGGCTATGGATCTCCTGGCATGTGTGTTCCCAGCACTGCCTTCCTGTAGCCAGAAGCCACCAGCAGAGCTGCTCTGTCTGAGGTGACACAGCTGCCTCTATCAGGCTCCCCCATGATGGGTATGGAAGGGGTGGGCGGAGGGAAGTGGGTTCCAGCATCTATTCTTTCTAGTGGGTTTAGTAGCCACAGTAAATACAGACCACTTAGGCTGGAAGATTGTTTTTGCCCTTTCGCTACCTGTAGAGTGAGGGTTTTACTGCTCAGCGGGCCACAGGAGTTGGGGAGCGGAGCGGGTTCTCAAAGGAAGTCTATGGCTTCTTTTTGTCTAGGGATGGTGGTTTGTCCAACACTGCCACCCTTTGCACTGTTTTTCTGCTCCTGACCCTAGGTTTAGCCTCAGTATGTGTTGGCTCCCCGGGCCCGGTTACAGTCTCTGCCCCTCTGGTTTGCCCTGTGAGGTTGCACCCTGACCCTTTACTACTCTTGCAACCACTGGGGTATGATGAGCTCCTGAATGCATCTGTGGCTCCCATCCCTTTCTTCCCCCATCCCATCTCCACTGTCCACACCTTCAAATGTCTCAATGCTCGAATTTCGTAAGCATGTTTGTGTATTGAGCATGGAATCCTTTGTTTAATTATAGCTGTCTAACTTGTTGTAACTTCAAAGAGAAAAATCTGGAGGTCCTCTCATGCTGCCATGCTGCTGACATCACTCTCTCAAGTTAACTTGTGATAAAGGAAACAAAAGCAAGAGAGAGCAACCTTACAGGAGAATCTCTATATTCCAAAATGGCAAGAGTGCTTTTCTCCCCAAATAGTACCCATCATTTCAGGTCACAGGGTCATTTTTTGTTAGAACATGGCTATAGTTGATATCTTTTGACACCCTGGGTGATTGGCCTCTCTGGCAGGTAGGTGACACCCATAGTGCATCAGAATGCAGGCTTCCCAAGGGCAGAGATGTAGTCTGTTTTGTCTACTGGTGTACCCAAGCACCTGGTACAGTGCCTGTCTGGAAGCAGGTCTGCAAATAAGTATTTGTTGAATGGATGGTTGAATGAATGAACCCCAGCATTCATCCTACTTAGAAATATTGTGAAATATGATAAAAATCAATCTCAGTTCACTGTGCCCTTTCCTAAGTCTTTGTCAGACTTTCAGATCTTGTCAAAGCTTTCCTAAGCTTATAAAAAAGGAATGGAAAAACAGACCAGAAATGAATACGGGGAGAGGGAAAAAAAGCCCTCAGATTCCCTCGGCAGCTTGCTCCCTAGTACTGGGGCTTTGTTACCACTGCAGAAGGGTAAGGGGGAGAAGAGCTGCCTGCTGAGGACTAGAAAGGCCCTAGCTCTTGAGCATTATCTACATCCCTCACATCTCTCCAGGAATCAGGCAGATAGGAATAGGGGCTTTTGACAGTTCTTACATATCAGCTGAGAGCAGGTTGTCCTGTTAGGAAAAATATTTCTTTCAGGATGATGTGTAGAGTTCATGAAGGCAGTGACTGTTTGCAAACATAACCCTTAGGTCAGGCCCAGAGCCTTTTTCCTATTTAGGATGGGAGATGTTTCCCTTTGGTATGTGTGAAATAGGAAATTAGCCTCCAGTTACTTGTGATCTGCCTCTCCTGACTTAGTGAAGAATTGGCCTTAGAAATTATTCTAAATCTTCATCCCACTTTTAGCTAGAAAGTTGCTGTGTGGTTACTGCTGCTCTAGCATGAGGAGGAGGGGCTGGGTGGGTTTTGGCCTCACTGATTAAACTTTGACTTTCTAAACCCATGTCTGCCAATTATTTTCCCTCTGCTCTCCTAGGCTCTTCCATTAGTTGATGAGAGAGGAAGGTCCTGGGGGACAAGAGGGAGGTTCAGTGTTTGTCATCACCATGTGGTTAGCTAGGAAATAGCCCCTTGCTTAGGACAGATGATCAAGAAAGCTGATTTTGTTGATTTCTTTAATTTCCCATGGCATTTTGAGGTTATTGGGCCAGTAATTTTAAGCATATTTTGGCACTTGGTGAGTTTCAGGTACTTGCCAAGTATCCTCTGAGTGCCACCTCCCGTTTGGGAAAACTGAACCTCCACAGGGCCTAACTGGCCCAAGGAAATGTCGGGCAATGCTTTCCCAGTTGCTGTGAGCTCTGGGCAAGGCTGACTCTACACAGGTGTAGACCCATGGGCTGGGCCTGACCTAAGCGAGCTGACCTAAGTGAGCTGACTCTACTTTTTCCACCTCAGTTTTTTACAAAGTCATGAAGTTTTGTGTCCTTAGTCTTAAAAATTATAGGTCCCTCTCGTTGCCTTTACTCTCACTCACTGTCTCTCACTGTCCTTCTCAAGTCCCCCTCAGTGCCTCTTTGTCTCTCTCACTGTCCCTCTCACTCTCTACCTCTGAGAGGAGACCATACTCTGTCCGTGAAGTGTTACCCTTTTTCTAATAAACTTTCCTTTTGACTCTAAAAAAAAAAGTTGTGGAGTAGTGGGCAGGAGATTCTGATGAAGACTCCCAAAGGGGAAAGCAGAATAGGACTCTATGAAAACATACCTTCCCTCTCTTCTTCTCCTAAGTCAAGGGAAGCTTGGTAGTCTTCTGAATTAATGCTTCCTCCTCAGATTCTGATCTTGACTCCACTGCTCACTAGCTCTTTGACCTTGGACAGCTTACTTAATGTCTCTGAACTTCAGTTACCTCATTTACAAACTATTACCTACCTCACAATTTTTTTTAACCTGGCCACGCTTGCTCCATATTCCTCCAGTACACTTTCCTTGAATCCCTTGAGTGGGCTAAATTGTCCTTTTATGTACTCCCTTCCTGCCACATGCATGCATAAGTCATAATACTTGATATATCATTCTCAAATGATTTCTATACAGGACAGTCTCTCCATGACTAGCCTATGGCTCCTTAAGAACAGAGAGTGTTCTAATCTGCTTTGTTTCTCAAAGTTCTATTAAAATTCCTGGCAAATAGTATGTGTTACCCACTGAAAACAGACATCACTTCTAAGTGTTTTTCATCCTGAGTGTGTTTTTGTTCACTCTATCTTGAAATTGCTTGGATCTGAATTGATACGGTTAGTTGATTGTTTTCTCTGAAGTGATCGTTCTTCTTCTACTTTTCTTTTCCCAACCAAAAGAAACACTGAGTTTTATTCCATATTTATGGAATTCTCCAAAACTCTTTACTTGGGTAATTGCTTCACATTTATTTCCTTTTCTCATCTGCTTTCTATTTAAGGACAGTTGTATACATGATGGGAAGAAAAGACTCAAATGGTATTAGAATCAGGGAATTCTGAGCCTTCTCATCTTTATCATCGTACCTACACAAGAATACACAAAAATTGGTGGTGAAAATTTTATTGGACATCAGATATGTCATTTAACTCACATTTGCTGAATACCGCCCATGTACTAAGCTTAAGCAGAAGAGGAAGATAGTAAGCGTGGGGCACAGAACTGGCACGCACATACATACACATGTACATATGCATATAATTTCATTCCATGTTCAAAATAGCCCCGGGAGATTGGGCATCATCCTCATTTATAGATCAGGAAATGTGCTTAGTACTTACGTCATTTTCCTAAGACCCTTCAGCCCATCACCGATGGAATCTAGTGTTGATTTGTCTGACCCTAAACCTATGCACTACATCATATTACACTGACGACATTAAAGAATAAGAAAAAAAATGTTGAGATAATAAGGTATATCAAAAAAATAGTGATGGTGTTGAGGAAGACAGGGAAACTGTTCTAGATTGAAGGATACCATCGAGAAATAATGGTCAAATACAACATAGAAGATTTTCAGAAGCCATGAGTCCATAGTGGTACTCAAAAAAGTAAAGAGAAATGTGAGAAGTTCTTTACAAAAGAATGGTAGAAGAGAAGGAATGATAGAATGTTTAAAATTACCATTTTGTGCCTTCCAGTGTAATAATTGACTCAGGTAAAGATCATCAATGGATACTAAAACCACTTGTTGAAGGATGGTGGGAGCAGGATAGTTTTATATTTCTACATATCACCCCATGGTTTACTTATCAGTTACGAAGGGGAACATGTCTCTACAACACAGAGATGAGTGGGCATCACCTGAACTGAGCAGTTGAGCTGGTGTCACCAGGGAAGAGGCAGCCTGCCTATATTATATTCCTCCTGACCAGGTGCAGTGGGAGGGGCATATCATCACCACATGGTGTTCTTATTAAACAAGCGTTTACCATAAATCTAATCATGAGAGAGACACGAACAAATCCACAGTGAGAGTAGTTCAGCAAAGCAACTAGCCTGGACACTTCACTGGGCCAGTAGTATAAAAACCTTGATTAGATCCTGGATTAAGGGTAGAGGCAGCCAGAAGGACTCTCCCTTTTTGACGAAAGCTGCTTTAGAGGGGCTTAGTTTCAATGAGAACAGCCTCCTCAAGGTCCAGCCCAAGTCTCCCTCACCCCCACCCAGTCACCACCACTGTTAGATTGTCTCTTCCCTCTACTTTTGCTGAGGGCACAGGGATGAAGAAGGAGAGTGAGCAGCCCCGCATCCCCCTCGCCCCCCACCAGAAAGGGCTGATGTGCAGTCTTGTTGCTTCTCCGACTTAGTGAAGTTCTGCCACTCTCACACCGGGGTTTTCTCCTGGCCTCTGTCATGTCTGTGACCTGATGACTTTCAGTCACCCCTCATCTGGCTGCCTGGCCTTCAGGGTGGGTCTTTCCCTCCTTTCACTGAAAGAACGGTGCCCGCCTTAGACATTCATGCCGTTGGTGCCTCTTTTCTCCCTGCACCTTCTCCATTGTCCCTGTGGCATATTGTCAGTTCCCATTGTTTGTCATAAAACTTTCTTTCTTTGCTTGTCTGTCAGGTTCAAGTGTGAATGGCCTGGAGGAGCCCAGCATTGCCAAGAGACTGAGGGGCACTCCTGAGAGGATTGAGCTGGAGAACTACCGTCTATCTGTGAAGCAGGCAGAGGAGCTGCAGGAGGTACCTGAGGAAACGCAGGCCGAGCACAACCTGAGCAGCGTGCTGGACAAGGGCACGGAGGAGGACGTGGCCAGCAGGTCAGCCTGTGCTGGGAGCCGAGGCCCCATTTTCCTGTGTGCTTCATGTGCCTATGGCTTTCCCTAGATAAATATACTGCCCTTCTCGGGGAAGGCAACATTGCACCTGCTAACAGCATGAGATCTGAGCCAGACTGCCTGGGTTTGAATATTGGCTGTGCCACCTATCAGCTCTGTGACACTAGGCAAGTAATATCACTTCTCTTTGCCTCCATTTCCTTATCTGTAAAATGAGGGCAGTACTACCTTCCTCACAGAATTCGTTTGAGGGTCAAATATGTGTTAAGTGTTTAAAACAACACAGGTACGCTTTGTTTTACTGCACTTTGCTGTATTGTGCTTCACAGATATTGTGGTTTTTTTACAAATTGAAGGCAAGACCCTCCAGCAAAAAGATTAGGACTCACTTTATTGTGATACTCACTTTATTGCAGTGGTGTGGAACTGAACCCACAATATCTGAGGTCTGCCTGTACGTGGCACATGTGTGCACTTATAGGTGGTGGCTGCCTTTGTTACTACTTTGGTGCTGGACCATTTACAAAGGACTTCCATCTTCATCACCTCACTTGGTCATCCTCACAGGAATCCTGTAGAGTAGACAAGAACATATATCCTGTCACCTTATAGGTAAAGATACTACTGGTGACTGAGACTAGGACCAGGAATTGACTAAGATTCGAAGTCAAGTTTCCTGGGTCCGAGTCCAGGATTCTTCCTGTTTTTCCCACTGCCTGGCAATCCCTCCTCTCCTGTCTCATTTAGGTTATTATCTCTTTATCTTGTTAGCCAGTAAGGATCACCATCCATTTGATTTATTTCAGAGATTTAGTAAGTATTTATTGAAGACCTACTATGGCCTTAACACTTTGCTATTCATTGAAAAGGTAACAAAAAAATTACAATTACTGGTGCTACTACAAATATATTGGAGGGCAAATCCTCCCACTCAGGGACAACAGTAGACCTGAAACAGTGTGCTGTTAGGGGCAGGTAGTTCAGCGGAAGGAACACCAGGGTTGGAATAGGGGCTTCTGTTATGACTTAGCCACTTTTTTGCCGTGTTATCCTGGGGAAGCTACTTCACCTCTCTGGGCTTCTGTCTTTCCC